AGGGTCGAGGAATGGTTAGGGGTGGCATAACAGGGGATCTACCGGCTTGGAAGTTATCCGCCATCGGCCATAAGCCCTCAGCTCCACTAAAATATTCCTCCAAGGGCCGGCCCGTGGCTCACTTGGGAGAGTGTGGTGCTGATAACACTAAGGCCACGGGTTCGGATCCCATGTAGGGATGACCGGTTAGCTCACTTTAGAGAGCATGGTGCTGACAATACCAAGTTAAGGGTTAAGATCGCCTTACCGGTCATCTTTTATTTAAAAAAAAAATTCCTCCATGTGTTGACAACTCAAATTTGGGACTGAGCGTGGCAGGATCCCTGGTGGATTTGGGAAGTTTATTTCAGATTGTCTCTTAGTAGGGGTGGGGGGAGCCTGAGTTGCTTCCCCCTTCCCCCCACGCTCCAGATGTCAGTATCTCCCGCCAGAATGGCCCAGCCTCTGCCATGTGGTTGACTCAGCCGCCAATATAAGGGCCTCCCCCACCCCTTCCAGCACCTGGCCAGGTGGGAGGGTGGAACCCAGAAACCAAGCCTCATGTGTTCATCAGGTTTTTACTAAGAACTGAGACAGGTTAAGTAAGAAGGATGGGAGGTTGCCAGTTGCTGGAGGAGAGTGGAGGTGTCACAGCGGGAGGGGGAAGTGTCTCTGAAACCATATTTCAAAGTTAGTATACAGGGGCCTTTGGTATTGGGTGAGGGCATGACTCAGTCCCCTAGAGTGTAGGATTCTCGTAGAGTGAAATCCAAGGGCAGAAAGGGATGGAGGGAGGGGGCCAAGTGCAGAAGGATTGCCGTATGGCTTTGGGTTGCTCTTAGACACTGCTCTGAGCTTAGGAAATTAGTCCCAGACTCACCTGGGTCCCGTTTAGGGTGTCAGGCCACTCTGAGAAAACCTGAGAGACCCTTCCTCACTTTATCTCCTCACCTGAGGAGAGTGCCTAATCCCACATGCCTTGAACTTCTTGTTCCCTGAAACTTTCAAATGAATCATATAAGGCCTGGCCTCTGGAATGGGAGTGAAATACAGACAGAAGCAGGACTCTCTGAGTTTCCAGGACCACCTAAGGGGCTGGGTGGGAGGAGGAACAGTGTGAGGAAGGAACCACAGACAGCCTTGTGTGTGCATGTATGTGTGTAGCGTGTGAACACGTGTACTTTACCCTGCACCCTTTGATCCAACTGGCTTCTTGGCCCAAATGCCAAGGCCCTGGTGGGCAGGACAAGAACTGAACCCAAGTCTCTACTACTCCTACCTCCTGGGGGTGGGACAAAGTCCAGAGACTGGGCTAAGCCCTGGGGAGGGGGTGGTAGCTGGAATGTGGGTTGCAGGGAACCCCTTCTGGATCAAGTAAGAGAGAAAAAGGGAAGGAACACGCAGAAGGACCCACATTGGCATTTGTGAGGAAGACCCTCAGGTTGCTGGTGGCCAGGGCAGTGCCTGGAGCTGCGTTGCCATCCATCTCTTCCCCTCTGGGCCTCCAGAACAGAAGGATAGGACAGGGGAGGCAGAGTTTCTACTTCTGTTGTGGTCTGGACCTTTCAGATAAAGTTAGAGTAGGGGTAGGAAGGTCAGACTGGATCTCAAAGAGATAGGACACCACACTTGGCTTGTCTTTGGCTCTTGATTGTGACAATGGGGGAGGGGTGCACCCAAGGCTGTTACCTTCCAGACTTAACCCCTGAACCCCAGAACTACAGACAACTCTGAGTCTCCTCACCGTTCCTTGGACCCTGTCTGAGACCTGAGAGTACCACAGCCTGCCCCTCCTGAAATGGATGAGGAATAAGAGGGAGCCTCACTGACTAGCCCATCCAATAGGCACCCAGAATTCTCAGCCATGATGGAGGCCACCGTATGGACCTTTCCTTCCTCTGACCCTGCTGCTGGAGAGGATGGGTAATTCTGGATGAAACTAGAAGTGCCGAGTGATTGAGAGCCCAGCCAGAGGGGCCACGTGGTAGGCAGGACCTGCCTGGAAGGATGGTGTGACTCCATCTCAAGTTCCCCCTCTCCCTGTTCTGCCTGACTTCCTGGGGGATCTCCAGGCACTTAACAATTAACCTCCAAGACTCAAGGATTTTTTCCCCAGGTTCCTTCCTCCTTTCTCTGTTTCCTGTTTCACAATCCCAGAAAACCTGAGTAGCCTATGGACCTCGCCCAGCTTGCCTCCCTCTGCCCCTTCCCCTCCCCCTTCTCTTTCTGCCTCTTGGGTTTGCCACACTTTCCCAGCCCCAACTGTCTCCTGTCCCAGATTTTCCGGTTCCTGGGTCAGGTTGGGCCTCGGCCCTGGGTGTGGTGGTCAGAACTTTGGCTGGCAGCCAGGGTGTGCTTAACCTTCCCTCCTTCCTTCGTAAGTGCTGGTAGGTGATCAGGGCCTGTTTTTCGTCTGAGGTTGGGGGAGAGGTGTTGAGTCCTTTCCCCTCACTCCCACCTGAAAACTTCACGTTTCTCAGAGGGTGTCCATAGGCTCTGGAGAATGGAGTTTTATGTGCTCAGGCCTGTCTGATGGAGTCAGGCAAATGCAGAGGGGTGAGGGTGGGGGTGAATGGGCTCAGGCCTGAGAAGTAACTTGCTTGGATCCCCAGAATGGCTGAGGTAGCAAAGCCCCCTCCCCCGTTGTTACTGGAGGGGGAACACTGGGGTCCCCAGCACTGCCTGCCCCACCCTGACCCACGTAGCCTTGACTCACTTGTTCTGAGTCACAGCCTGGATATAAAGGCACCGCCTGGGAGATGGACGACTGTATTGGGGTACAGGACTCCCCTGAGACCTCATAATCCTCCATGTCTTTCTGCCCTTCACTTTCAAATGCAAGAAAAGACATATCCTTTGTAGCTTGAGGGATGGAGGTGCCACGCCAGATGGGATTCCCCCCCCTTTTTGGGTGGGGGCTGGGAATTCCATTAAGTGAAAAGAATTCACCTCTCCTGGCCTTTCGCCCACAGGTACCTACACTCAAGTTGAGGGAGGGGGGAGGAATAATCCTTTTGGGGGAAGATGCCCATCTGCCCAGGCCCCTGTCCTTCTCTCCCTCTTCCATCCTTCATGGAGCTAGAAGTCAGCAGGCGGGTATATCTGGTATGTCTCATTCTATTTTTAATTCCATCCATTTTGTTTCTCCCCCACCCCTGGGGCTGGGCAGCTGGTGGCCTCCTGGGTCCCCTGCCACACTGTACAGCTATCTGTCTTTGGTTTGCTTTTCATGAGGAGCTGGGGTGCAAAAGACTGTCGGTTAGCTGCTTTGCAGTCCTGCTCTGGAGAGAACCTCATGTCTCCTCATTTCTGACCCTTCACCCACTCCTTCTTGAGCCTCAGTTTCTCCTCTTTCATCACACATTTATTACAGTGTATTAATGCCCTGGCTCAGGTGTGGGTACTGAAAATGCAGAGATCAAAGTTCCCTGCTGCACTCCCTGCCTTAGACTCCTCGGTCCCCACCCCCACCCCTGGTTCCCGGTGCACACAGATCCACCAAGAAGTGAGGCCAAGGGAGGGGCTTTTGCTATTATTGTCCTATGCCTGTCTCCTGGGATCTCTAAGCTCTGGAGGCCCTCATTTTGTTTTTTTGCTTCCCTGTCTGAGAGGAGGATAGAGAGCTAGCTGGTAAAAGGACCCAGGTGTCCTGGTCAAGGACTGGCTTCTCTGCCCCTGCCCTAGGTCTGCCTCCCCCCCTTTCAGCACTAGCTGTGGTTTCAAGCACAGCTAGAGACCCAGGTGCCAGGCTCCAGGATTGGGGGTGGGGTGTGTTAGTGTCCCCTCCTCCCCAATCCAGAGAGAGGGCCTGGGGGGGAGGGGCGGTCACATTCCTGGTTGCTGAGTGGCCCTGGGGGCGGGGTTGGGTTGTCATGGTGATGGGGATCCTGTTTGTGGGGGGAACTGCGTGCCTTTCCACCCCCTGCTCTCACACCCCAGCGTCTCCTGGTTGTCGGGAGGGCCCAGTTTGTGCTGGGCCTTCCTGGGGGGAGGGGCTGGACCTCTGTCCCCAGAGGCCAAGGGGCAAGGGGGGAGGTGCCCAGAAGCCTGAAGACTTCCAAGTCTAGGGCAAGATGCCCCTCAGATTCGTGCTCAGGGCCCCACCCCCTCTCCTGGGTGTGTTTCAGCTCATTCTCATCTGCCCAGCCTCCCTGTCTCCCCAGGCCCCCAGTCAGGCCCTCTATCCCTGTCTGTGTTAATCACTGCTTCTGCCTGGCTCGCTCTCTCTCTCCTGTCTGTGCCTGGGGCCCCAGTCAACATGGCCACCTGGCCTCTGTTCGGCGGGAAGCCAGACTGCTGGGGCTGCTGCAAGTGTTGCTGGGAGTTGTAGTCCCCTCTCCACCACCCCCCAGCTCAGCTTGCCCTGGGCTTCCAGGGCCTGATCTGGGAGAGTCTGGCCAGGCCACTGCCTCTCTCCATTTTCCTAACCTCAGACCTATGCACCTCTCACTTCCACCACCACAGCTCTCCTCAGGCTGCCGGGACACATGGGCCAGGGGATCAAGTCAGGAGATCTAAATCTGAGATCTGGACCTCACTAATTTGCCCTGTTATTTTGGGTAAATCACTTCTTATCTGGGCTCAGTTTCCTCATCTGTAAATGAGCGAGTTTGCCTACTTTGGTGGCTTTCAAAAGGCTAGTGCTGGAGAGGGGTGTTGAATAGACGGCCCTTTGGCTTTCACCTCCACTTCACCCACAGCAGTCTGCTTTTATCTTTTCATAGATTCATTTAGCAAGTATTTACTGTGTACCTACTGTGTGCTAGGCATTATGCTGGGGATAAAAGCAGACCTGCTGTGGTCTCTGACCGTAGGCAAGTATAGTCCAGGTAATCCACATAGACATTAATCAATTGATCATACAAATCAGTGTAAAATTAGAACTGTGAAAAGCACTGTGAAGGGGAGGTATTAAGAGACAGTTTTGCCTGGAGAGGTGGGTGGGTCAGGAGAGACGGGAAAGCTCTCTGGAGGAAGCGATGAGGGAGCTGAGGCGGGAAGGATGATCAGGAGTTAGGGAGTTTGAGAGCCCGAAAGAACAATGTGGCTGGAACAGAAAGGGCAGCATACTGGGAGAGGTTGATAATAGCAAACACATATGTAGGACGTGCTACATGCCAAGTTATGGTCATTTAATCCTCACAACCCCATGGCTTAAGTACGATAACTGTCTCCATTTTGCAGATGAGGAAACAGGCAGAGAAACGTTCAGTAAGTTGCCTGAAGTTATATAATTTCTGGCAGAGTTGGGATTCAGCCTATGCCATTGTGGAGAAGAGATGAACATTTGGGTCCTAGAGTCATGAAAAAATATTGAAAGGTTTGAAGCAAGGGGATGCAATGCTCTGCTCAACGTGTCGAAAAGGCCCACTCTGACTGTAGTGTGACGAATGGATCATGTGGGGCAAGGATGGAGACTGAGTGAAGTAGAGGCTGTGGTTTTAGTCCAGGCAAGAGATGACAGTGGTTAAACCAGGGTGATGGCAAAGATGTGGAGCATTGTGGCCAGGACCTGGACATGTTGGGAGGCAGAATGGGTGCCATCTGGTTTGTGAAGTAGAGGGAGGGACTTCTGGGTTTCTGTTGGGCTTTCATGTCTGACTTCATTCGAATAGAGTTCCACTGCTGAAAGTGGTCTCCTGGGTCCTGTTCAGTCTGCTTTTACACAAATACCCCTTCGAGGGCAGCGGCCCACCTCAAACTCAAGACCTCAGGACTCCAGCTCCCACTCACTTCCCTCATCTCACCCGCAGATTGACGAGATGCCTGAGGCTGCCGTGAAATCAACAGCCAACAAATATCAAGTCTTTTTTTTCGGGACCCATGAGACGTGAGTGAGGGGCCAGAGGGGTGCAGGTGGAGAGGGCCACGGGAGGACCACTCTGGGGAAAGAGAGGTGGTGATGGTGCCCCTTCTGTGTCGGGCAGCAAGGGGCTCGAGAGCACAGTCTCCCATCTTTCACTAGGGCATTCCTGGGCCCCAAAGACCTCTTCCCTTACGAGGAGTCCAAGGAGAAGTTTGGCAAGCCCAACAAGAGGAAAGGGTTCAGCGAGGGGCTGTGGGAGATCGAGAACAACCCTACCGTCAAGGCTTCTGGCTACCAGGTGAGCTGCCATCTGCCCCAAACATACCTGGAAAGCAGGTGTGGCCGTGGGCTCCGGGAGCCCCGGCCCACAGATGGTGCTCAGTCTTCAGAAACACCAGCGCTTTCAGGGTAGGAGCTAATCAGGTGGGGGTGGGGGCTTCCTGCAAGAGGGGATAGGGTTGCGGGTGTGTGGTGTAGTTGTCACTAACTATTAGACAGTGACCGGGGGTGGGGCAAGAACAGGATGGAGGCGGTAAGTGGGGACATGCCTTTGTTGGGCCCAGCATGAGAGTAGGACATGGCCTAACTCTTTCCACAAAGACTTCCAGGAGGAGGTGCTTGTGAGCCGGGCAGGACAAGGCGGGAGGGTGGGGGGCGGGGGTTGGCGGGGAAAGGGTCCCAGCTCCCTCTGGGAGAAGTTGACCCGAGGTCTTGCCTCCTGCTCCAGCCCTCCCCCCTCCTGCACAGAGCCCTGCCTGCCCGGCCAGTGGGTTTGCCCCGGGGCTAATCCGACAGAGGTGGGTCTCAAATCACTCGTGAGACTGGGCACCTGGGTGGGGGTGGGGGAGAGGCGGGAAAAGGAAGGAGTGAGTGGCCGAGGGAGGGGTCTGGGGAGGGGGCCCAGCATGCAGCTGCTGGTGCCACTCAACCTCTGCTGTCTCTGCCACAGTCCTCCCAGAAGAAGAGCTGCGTGGAAGAGCCAGAGCCTGAAGCCACAGAGGGCGATGGAGATAAGAAGGGGAATACGGAGGGTAGCAGTGATGAGGAAGGGAAGCTGGTCATCGACGAGCCAGCCAAGGAGAAGAACGAGAAGGGGGCACTGAAGAGGAGAGCAGGGGATCTGCTGGAGGTAACTGCTACCATCCTGGGGCTGGACCCCTTTGAACATTCTCCAGAGGGCATCCCCGCAGGAGCAGGGCTGTGCCTCAGGAGCACCCAGTCTGCGAAGAGGGACCGCTCCTACTCCAGGAGTCCCCAGTCTGAGAGATTGATCCCCTAGTCTTGGGGAGTCTGCAGCTAAGAAGATGGGACACAGAAGAAGGCATTTCAGCTAGTGGAGGGCTGGGAAGGGACTGTGGATAAAAGCCCAGGAAGGAGACTCTGAGGAGGGGACTGGGGGGTGCAGGTAGGTGGCTGGTGCAACCTCAGTCCCCCTTGTCTCTGCCAATCCTGCCTAGGACTCCCCTAAACGTCCCAAGGAAGCAGAAGACCCCGAAGGGGAGGAGAAGGAGGCAGCCATCTTGGAGAGTGAGAGGCCCCCCACCGTGGAGGTGGAGAACAGCACCCCCTCTGAGCCCGGCTCTGGCCGGGGGCCTCCTCAGGAGGAAGAGGAAGAGGAAGAGGAGGAAGAGGCTGCCAAGGAAGACGCTGAGGCTCCAGGTGTCAGAGATCATGAGAGGTGAGTGACTCCCTTGTTTGCTTGGCAGCTGGACTGGGAGGGCCCGGCCTTTTGTGGAGAGGTGGAGGAGAAGGTCCTGAAATGGCTAGCCTCTCGGGAGATGGGGTGGGCTCTCCAAGGAGACCGGCTCTAGCTGGGGCAAGGCTGGGCCAAGGCCACACTATTAACCCTATCTCCCCTCCAACCCTCCCCTGCAGCCTGTAGCCACCAATGTTTCAAGAGGAGCCCCTGCCCCGTTCCTGCTGCTGTCTGGGTGCTACTGGGGAAACTGGCCATGGCCTGCAAACTGGGAACCCCTTTCCCACCCCATCCCACTCTCCTCTTCCACTTACTTTCCCCACTCCAAGCCCAGCCCCTGGAGATTGACTTAGGTGGGGCAGGCTAGCTGGCTCTTACCTCCAGGTCCCTACACCCCTGTGATCTGAGTCAGGGTCATGTCTTCTGCTCCCAGACAAGATGAGGCCATTGTGTACCTTCCTGCTTGGAGCTGTTTCCTAGGGATCTGTTGGGGCCTGAGCCAGCTGTTCCCAACTCCTGATATCCCCCTCTCCCTCCTCCAAGCATTCTTGACCTCCAGGTTGGAATCAGGGCTCAGTAATGGAAGGGATGGAGCATAAGTAGCAGAGTGGGCTTCTGGGGCCCTGGAGGGATAATCCTCACATGGGGGGGAGGGGACAGGAGGGTGGCATCTTCTTGAGCTCCTGTCCCCTCTGCCCACACATATTATCCCAGCTGCCTAAATTCAGGGAAAGTGGGACAGCTTGTGGGGTAGGGGCTCCCTTCCATATATCCCTGATGTTTGACAACCCCCATTCTTCTTTTTGCTGGCCCCAGGAATTCTGGGAGTTGTAGTTCATCATTGAAAGATTTTGGGGCTTCCAAGTTGTTTGGGCCAAGGACCTGAGATCCGAAGGGCTGACTTCACCCATTTGGGGGGGAGTGTTGAGAAGCATCTGTCCCCCTCTAGATCTCTGGGGCCAGAGATGGGATTCCCTGGGGAGACCCCATCTGCCCTTTCCTTCTCCCACAGTGCTCAAGGCCAGCCTACAGTCATATATATCACCCAGACATAAAGGAAAAAGACACATTTTTTAGGAAATGTTTTTAATAAAAGAAAATTACAAAAAAAAGTTTTGAAGACCCCTAACCCTTTGTGTGCTCCCCACTCAGCTCCTTTCTTCCCCACCGTTGCCCCCATTTCTGAGGTGCACTGGGAGGCTCCCCTTTTGTTTGGGGCTTGATAACTTTCTTTTTGTAGCTGGGGCTTTGGTGTTCCTTCCGGTGTCATTTCCCATTCACATACCCCACCTGGTCCCCTCAGTGTTGTCACTAGATCAGATTTGTAACCCACTGAGAGGACAGGGAAATAAGTGCCCTCTCCCAAAACCTCTTCCAAGTGGTCTCTATGCCTCTCTTCCATCTCGTTTCTTTTACCCTAGCCCCTCTCCCTTGGGCTCTGATGAAAAATTGCTGACTGTAGCTTTGGAAGTTTAGCTCTGAGAACCGTAGACAATTTCAGTTCTAGGAAAATAAAACCCGTTGATTACTATATTGGATTCTGGCTGATTCTTTGGTGGGGTTGTGGGGTGTATTGGTTAACTGAAGAGAGGAAACAGAAAAAGAATGCAAATGATTTTCAGACCATCTCAGAGGTACGGGTTAGCCTCCTCCATTCTACATGAGGGTGGATGTCCTGGAATAAGCAATACCGTTTATTCCACCTCAACTGCCCAGCCACTGTTTAACACAGGTTCTCCTTGCAGCACCTGGGAGGGTTTAAAAAAAGTCTCCACAAGAAGTAGGGTGTGGGAAGGTGCTAGTATCCGGCCATAGGCCATGACAACCGTGAAAGAGGGAGTGTTTGGACTGCTCACAGAAACAACTTTGACCTCCAAGGGCAGGCCAAAGAGTAGAGAGGCTAACCCTTTGTCCATGTTAATGCTAGAGATGCTTGCCACCCTTAACTGGTTGATGGGGTAGGGGGAGGAGGACGCTGATACGGTGGAATCTTCCCAGTACTCCCTCAGTTAAGTGGAATGACTGGATTAGATGATCTCTGACGATCCTTCCAGATCTGACATTTTGTGACTATATTATCTAGTATTGGAAGAGCCCACTGTTACTCCAGGGAGCTTAAGACAGTTTTTTAATCTGCCGTGGTCCCCCTCCAGCAGAGAAGGCGGGGGAGAGAATTGGCTCTAAGTCTCGCCTGGAGAGTGAGGCTCTGCCTTAAACAGGAAACCACAACCACCTAGAAAATGGAGCCGTCGACTCTAGAAACTACAATTCCCAGCGGCCTTCACGCAGAGAGTGCGCAGGAGTGGTCAGGCGCGTCAGCCTATCCTGCTTTGCCTTCCCTTCCCGACATGCTTTACGGGTTTTTCGGCTTCCTTGATTCCTACACCCTCGCTAAGTTTCCTGTTTCCAGTTTACTTCGTGGCGGCGGACTGCAACTCCCAGCATGCTGACAAGCTAGATTCGTTGTTGAGCTTCCGCCTTACAATTAAACTACATTTCCCAGAAAGCCGACGGGAGGTGCTGAGGACCCACGTGCAGCGGTGACAGACGGAGGCTCAGCGGTGCAGCGGTAAGCCGAGGTGAGGGCCCTGCGGCCCAGAGGTGTCGCATCTCAGAGGCTCGTCCGGGATGCAGGTGCGGGAGAGGCCTTCCTTTTCCCTGGCTGTGGCTCAGTCGCCTCCCTGGGGTTTCACAGCACCGGAAGCTTGGAGCGGGTGGGTGCCGAAGACTGCTGGGACCTGACGATGTCCGGAATCCGGATCCGCACCCGGAGTGAGGCTGGCGGGGGAAACCTTGGAGTCGTGACTTGAGGGGGTAGCCGTTCTACCACACTACCTTGCACTACGCCTTCAGAGCACGCAGTGAAAGCCCCACTGCGGAAGGTGCACCAGCCTCTCCAGAGTGTAGAGGCAAGGGAGGCAAAGGTCTACAGGGCCTGCAAGTTGCTGTAGTCTAGGCTGGCTCCTGGGATCATCTCCCAGAGCCTCAGACCTGGAACGACCGTTAAGAGACTCCATGCAGCAATCACGCAGGAGACTTGGGTCTTAAGATTGGCCCTGTTTCTATCAAACTATATGAACTAGGGCAACTCACCTCAGCTCTTGGTTTCCTTGTCTGTAAAAGAGGCTGTATGATACTCGCACCTGGCAACCTCCCTCACTGGGAGGTGTGCAGACCAAATGCCAGTCAATACTGAAATTCCCAGCATACGGTTTGTCACAAAGCAGTGCTCCGTAAGCATTTGTTGAATTTGAATAGGGAGACTTAGGACCTTATGTTCAACCAGCATTAATAGAAAATAACATTAGGCCTTTTTTTTTAATACTCTACTCAGACTTATAAAGAAAGAAAACGAACCAGTGTCTCACTGTTCTGATAAACCACTTGATATATTTTTTAAATGCACATGGCTAGAAAATGCAAACATTATGGGAAGGAACAAAATGGAAAGTAACAGCCCTCCCAATCAGTTTGTCCCCCAAAGCAAGTACTTTAGTTTCCTTTTTCCTTACCATAAACATGTGTGCCTGTGCTGGAATATATATTAAATTTACCTAAAAGGGATAATACTATTCACATTATTCTGCCCTTGCTTTGTTAAAATATTAAAAATAGTTTAGATGACACAACAACCCTGTAAATTTTTATGGATGATGAAACTAAAGCTCAGTAGTTAAGTAAGTTGCCCAGGGTCACACGGTAAGACAATGGCAGAGCAGAACTAGAATCCAGGTGGTCTGATCCCCCAGTCCAGGGCTTTTTATGCCTTTATAGTACACTTTATTTATTTATTTATTTTCTATAAAGATGATCTGTAAGGGGATCTTAACCCTTGTCTTGGTGTTGTCTGCACCATGCTCAGCCATTGAGCATACTGGCCATCCCTATATAGGATCCGAACCCGTGGCCTTGGTGTTATCAGCACCAAACTCTCCCGAGTGAGCCACAGGGCCAGCCCTATAGTACACTTTATTTGTACTGTGAAGTTAGGGGTTTTTTTATTTTGTTTTGTTTTTTTAAAGATGACCGGTAAGGGGATCTTAACACTTGACTTGGTGTTGTCAGCACCATGCTCACCTAGTGAGCTAACTGGCCATCCCTGTGTGGGATCCAAACTCAGGGCCTTGGTGTTATCAGCACCACACTCTCCCAAGTGAGCCATGGGCCAGCCCAAGTTAAGGGTTTTTTAAATCTATAAAATGAAATTAATGGTACCTTCTTCGTTGGTTATCCTTAGACTTAAATGAGATGTTACAATAAAGCACTTAGATGGCACTTGAAAGGTAGCCCTTACTATTTTTGCCCTCAGTTCTCTTACTAGACCATTAATATAGTCCATAATCCACAATTGTTAAATTTAGAGCACATACTTGGTTGGAAATTTAGGACCCAATAATCTTAGAGTCTGGCCCTGGGTCCTTTTCCTTTAGAAAAGAAGCTATTAGGGGGCTGATCAGTTAGCTCAGTTGGCTAGAGCATAGTGTGTTTTTTTTAATTGAAACATAACTGATTATATTTGTGGGATACACAGGTGAATATCAATACCTGCATACAATATGTGATCAAATGAGAATAATTAGTATACTCATCATTATAAAACGTAATCATTCTTTATGACCTTTAACCAATTTCTTACTAACCCCTCTTCCTCTCCCCCTCCCCCTTTCCCACCTCTAGTAACCACAGTCCTGATTTCTCCTTTTGAAAGTTCAATGTATTATTGAGATTGTTGTACCTTTCTTTCTTTTTTATTTACTTATTTTTTAGCTCCCACTTATGAGTAAGGACATACAGTATCTCTCTTTCTGTGCCTGGCTTATTTCACTTAACATAGTTTTTTCCAAGCTCACCATATTGCCGAGAATGGCAGAATTTCATTCTTTTTTATGGCTGCGTAGTATCCCATTGTGTATATATACCACATTTTCCTTGTCCAGTCATCTGTCAATGGACATTTAGTTTGGTTCCCTATCTTGGCTATTGTAAATAGAGCTGTGATAAACAAAGCGAATGCAGATATCCCTCTGACATGATGATTTCCATTCCTCTGGGTATATTTTCAGCACTGGGATTGCTGGATTGTATGGCAGTTCTATCTGTAGTTGTTTGAGAAACCTCCATACTGTTTTCCCATAATGGCTGTACTAATTTGCAGTCCCACCAACAGTGTAACAGGGTTCCGGTTCCCCTTTCTCCGCATCCTCGCCAGCATTGTTATTCCCTGTCTTTTTGATAATAGCCAGTCTAACTGGGGTGAGATGATATCTCAATGTGGTTTTGATTTGCATTTTCCTGATGCTTAGTGATGTTGAGCATTTTTTATGTCTCTGTTAGCCATTTGTATGTCTTCCTTTGAGAAATGTCTATTCAGTAGAGCGCAGCATTGTAACACCAAGGTCAAGGGTTTGGATCTCTAAACCAGCTAGCTGCCAAAAAAAAAAAGTAAGAAAAGAAGCTATTAGGGAGGAGTGTTTTTTTCCATCTGAGGATAAGGAATTAGAAGTTGGATAGGGACAATTTAACCCCAATTTTAATCTCTGCTACATTATGTTTGTTTCACCTTATAACTACATGCCTTTTGGCCCTATGCCAGTGTTTTGTTCCATTACCTGTTTCCTTCCTGCTATTCCTACCCTGCTATTCATGCATTTATTTAATAACTATTTGAGTACTTAATACGTGCCAAGCTCTACTGGGATCTGCTGGATTCAGGAGTGAACTAGATAACATGGCTCCTGGCTTCAATGAATTTTTTGGACTTTGCAGTCAGATATATGTGGGTTTGAATGCTGATTCCCCCACGTAGTAGCTTTGTGACCATGGGCAAGTTAACCTATTTCCTCATCTGTAAAGTGAGAATAATATCATCTTGTGAGGATTCAGTGAGATGAGGTCCATTGAGCAACCAAGTAAATGCTTTTAAAAATGTCTCTTCCCTTCTTTCTATGTGCCTGCCCTAGAGCCGACAAGGAAGGTTTCTAAGTCTCTTGCTGCTGAGGGATTTCTCCAACTTTCAGCCATGCGTCTCTCTGCCCTGCTGGCCTTGGCATCCAAGGTCAGTTTGCCTCCCCACTATCGCTATGGTATGAGCCGCCCAGGCTCCCTGGCAGACAAGAGGAAGAACCCCCCAGGGACAAGGAGGCGCCGGGTGGTCGTTGAACCCATCTCTGATGAAGACTGGCATCTGTTTTGTGGGGATATGGTGAGAGCCTTAGAAGGGGGGCAGAATGACTGGGAGGCTCCTGGGCAAGGATCCCCCTCCCTGACCCTTACATCTTCCCACAGGTGGAAGTCCTAGAAGGCAAGGATGCCGGGAAGCAGGGCAAAGTGGTTCAAGTTATCCGACAGCGAAACTGGGTGGTCCTGGAAGGACTAAACACAGTAAGTGAAGAGAGAGGATGGGGATGCTCAGGAAGCCTGTTCCATTAGCACAGTGCAGCAGGAGACTGGCCGAGAGGATGGTGGTACAACTAAACCTTCTGCTCTTCAACTTGTGCTGAAAGCGCTCAGCAGCAGTGGGCAAGCCCCATTCA